GGGCGCGGAGCGGGCGCGGGGGGAAGATGGAAGGAGCGTCCTTCGGAGCGGGCCGGGCGGGGGGGGCCATCGACCCCGTGGATTTCCTAAAACAGCCCCAGACCCTCCTCCGGGTGACCACCTGGGTAAGGCGGAACGGCCGCGGGGGCGCGGGGATGGGCAGCGGCGGTGCGGGGACAGCGCCCGGTGCGGCGGGCAGTGATGGGGAGATGGGCAGTGATGGGGAGATGGGCACTGCCAGGGCGATGGGCAGCTCAGGTGCATCGTGCCCGCAGCCAGGGCATCACTCCCGGTGCATCTCTCCCGGTTCATCGCTCCCGGTGCTCGGTGCGCTGCCGGTGCCGGTGCTGATGTTGATGCGGTGCCAGTGCGGTGGGCACTGCCCAGTCCCGCGGCTCCCGGGAGAGCTGGCAGGGAATTTCCTCGGGAATGGGGCCGGGATGCGCCGCTGCCCGTCCCCTGTGCGGTGCTGGAGGATGCGGCTCGGAGCAGCAGGCAGAGGACATTTTCCTGCCTTCCACGCTCCGTGCATGCGTGTGTGTGACAGAAATCCGGGAGCCAGCCGTGCCCAGCTCCCCCGTGCTGCTGAGAGGATGTCGTGTTTGTTGGACGTTTCCCATCTGTGAATTCCCTCCGAGCAGGAGGTGGGATGGGATGGGATGGGATGGGATGGGCTGTGCAGCCGCTCCGGGAAGGCTCTGGGGGTCCGTGCCCGGGGAGCTGTGCCAGGTTGCCCCTGGGGCCGTGGTGCCCCGATGCCCAGGGCTAAGGGCAACCCCTAATTTGCCTCCCCCGGCTTGGCTTTTTGCTGAGATCTGCAGGTGTGCACGGCCTTGGGATTCAGGAATGTCGCGTCTTTCCCCAAAACCCCCAGTGGGAAGGGTCTGCCCGGCTCTCACCTGGCTCCAGTGCTTGGCTGGAGGCTGTGGATGAGCCTGGGGCGTGTCCTCGATCTATGCCACACCTGTGCCGGCTCTGTGTCACCTTTGGCAGTGCTCAGTGAGCAGACGGAAGCTGTGCTGGGGAGGAGCTGCCCCAATCCCAGCAGGCACAGCCGCTGTGTCCGTGGGGCTCTCGGGGCTGGGATGCCCTGGCCGAGGCCCTGAGCAGCACAATGTGCAGCACATGAGCAATTCCAGCTGCAATCACATGCTCAGAGTTAAACCACATGCTGCAGTGTGTGGCTGGATGGGAGCTGATGTCCTTCCCAGGGCTTGGAGAAGGCTCATGCTGGAGAAAAACAGTGGCCAGGGATGGATCTGGGGCATCCAGCTTGGTGTGGATGGGGTATTTGGGGCAGGGTTGAGATGCAGTTGTTTCCTAGAAGAAAACTTGCTCTGGATCCTCCTGGAGTGGCAATGGCAAACTGCTAGCAGTGGTGCAGGGTTTGGGTACAGTTAAATAAATCTGACTCACTCTTGGTGGGGGTTCAGCCCCCTCCTAAAATAAATGTGTCATCTGGCACCCACAGGGCTCCCCATCCTTGATCCATGGAGGGGGCTGGACACTGCTGGGAAGCAGGACCAGAGTATGGAATACAGGTCCAAAATAAAAATCCCAGCTTAGAAAATATTCCTGTATATATTCAGTGGTGAAGTCCCTCTTTCCTGGCTCTGTGTTCACAGGGAATCAGGAACAAACGAGTGCTTACAACTACAGAAATGCATCAGCTTAACTCCAAACAAGTGCAGGGGCCACCAGTGTGGGCAAACATGGCACGAGCATGGTGCTATCCCATCAATGTTTGCAACATTTCGAGTTGGCTCCAAAGCCCACGAGCAAAATGAAGTTTTTTGCTCTTTTCAGCAGGCTGGGGGTTGGGAGCTCCCTTTGGAGCCCTTTTCCCAGGTCTCACATTTGCTGGTAGATCTGTCAGGGTGATGTCAGGGTGTTCATCACCCCTCTAGCCTGGGGTTTCAGAGCCCCAGCAGGGTTGTCTCAGTCCAGTTCCCTGTGTCTCAAAGCAGTTCAGCACTTATGGCTCCTCTCCAGTGTGAGCTGGGGCTGCAGTCAGTGCGAGGTGTGAGTGGATTCCCTTCCCTCTGCTGTGCCTTGTGCCTGACCAAACCCATGCCAGGATGGAGAGACTGGATGGGGGAGGCAGCCAGAGGCTTTGCTGAGGTCTGTGCTGCTGTCCTGGGTGAGGGTGGCAGTGCTGTGGTGGCACTCTGTGCCGGTGGCCAGGCAGGAGCTCAACCCAACGCCCACCGTGCCACTCCCTGGTTCCCCTGAGAGAGAACCTTGCCAGCCTTGCCTGCCTGCTGTCCCAGGGGACACGAGCCAGCACAGAGCAGCCCTGGGTGGTTGTTGAGCAAGCCCTGGGCTCAGGTCAGGCTTTGGAATGGGGTTTCCTCTCGTGGTTTTCCTTCCTGTGCCTCATCTTTGCACCGTGGTTAACGTGAGCAGCCGGGTCCCACGCTGGGGACGGGACCCCTGCTCTGGGTGTGATGTCAGCTTCTCCTGGGAAAAGGAGGCAGCTGGTTTGGGTGGGGGTGATGGAGAAATCCCACAGGGATTTGGGGCCAGCTCCAGGTGCCTGAGGTGAGTCACTGGTGCTGATCTCACTGATCGCTGCTGGGGCTTCCCAGCACCCAAGGAAGGTCCAGTTCATTTTTGTGGCTCCAGTGGCTGCTTCAGGGACCCGGTGCTGGCAGACGTGTGAGGGACTGGCAGGTGAATGGAAACCAACACAGAAATCCCCAAATGTCAGCCGTGGCCAAAGGGGATTCCTGGTTCTGCCTCCCCCTGACAGAACAATTCTGAGTATCTGAGAGGGGGAAAAAAAACACTCTTGGCTTGAGCTGTAAAATCAAAAGCTGGAAAGAACCATTTAACAGTTCCTCATTCATCTCTTCCCTCTCTGTCTGATGCAGTTTGTCAGATGAAGATGTGATCCCTCTTGTGGTTTCCTTTTGAGACATTTTTTGCACAGCCAAACAGAGTCGATATTCATGCAGAATCATGAGTTCCTTTCTCTGTGACTGCCCGTGCCAGCCAGACTTTCAAGTGGCCACTCAGCTCTGCAGGGCAATTGTTCATTTAGCATTTAACATAGGCTTAGGTTTGGCTTTTAAAAGCACTTTGGGAAAACATTCTGGTAAACTTTTTCAGCAATTCCTGTGATTTCATGCAGAGCAGCAGCAGAAGTGCAGTGCTGGGTCACAGTGCACCCTCATCCCCTCTGAGTCACCCATCCCATCCCATCCCATCCCATCCCATCCCATCCCATCCCATCCCATCCCATCCCATCCCATCCCATCCCATGCCACTCTCTGTCTCCCTGGAGCTCAGCAGGAGAAATGCAGGGAATAAGCTCTGGATGCTCCTCAGGGGTTTCACTGACTCCGGAGCACTCAGGGCTCTTCGGGAAGAGCTCCAAGGCTGCTCTGGCACTGCAGGAGCCCCCAGCAATGCTCAGAGTCATTAACATGATCTGAGCTGCTTCAGACTTTGGTCCTGACTTCCCAGAAGGGTCATCAGATTTCTGTCTTAATTTTCTCTTTCTGCAGGCTATAGATTAAAGGCAGAACTTAAACTTGACGTTTTGGTAATGGAATTATAGGGAAGCTTTGCTGCATCTGAGCTTAAAATGATTCTAAATTGTCATGCTCCTGTCATCTCTGGTTTCAAGCACTGCTGGTGTGCCATGTGCTCAGATTGCAGGACGAGATTAGGAGCCTTGAATGGGCTCTGTATCTCAGCCAGCATCTCTTACCACATCAGAAAAAGTAATTCAGGAAAAATCAGTCATGTGCTCATCAATAGACATCCTCCCAAGCTGATTAGCCTGGTGGACGTGGCCCTAAACCTATTAGAGCATCAGACCACCCCTTTCTGTGCCAGAAACCACGCCAGGCCTTTCCCTTTGTGGTCATCTCCATGTCCCATGGGAGATCTGTGCTTAGAGCAGAGCTTTGATCTTCACAGCCTCCAATAAACGATGGAGATCAGTTCTGGAACCTTCCCCTGACTGCCAGCTGTAAAGATAAACCGGAGAGAGCCCAGGGGCTGATTGTCCCCCTGTGCCAAGGGTCCCCTCATCCCTGAGCCAGGATCTGTGCCAGGCTCATGCACAGCACAGGGGCTTAGCTGGGCTTAGGGAAACACTCAGTGCTAAGCAGGGTTTGGCCCGTGCTAATTTGACCTCAGTTGTTTTCCCTCCTCGTTTCTCCAGGAGGGCAGGGAGCTGAGCATGAGCTGGAGGGAGTGAGGGATCACCCAGGGCTTGGCTCTCTGCATTTGTGGGCTGTGCCCAGCACTGCTGGTCAGGAGCCACGGCAGAGGAAATGAGCTCTGGGTTATTTTTCCTGGTGCATTACATTTCCTCCGTGCTGACATTAATGGTTGCTTGCCTGTGTAATCCAAGCTGGGTTCTGCAGTCTCCTACAACCCCAACACCTTCTGGTGGTGTTTTTTTTTATAGGTCCCAAATCTAAGTGCAGCTCCTCAGCAGTGGGAACATCTCACCTTAAAATGGCTGACAGCTCTCAGCTCGTGCTCTCCTCTGTTATTTGCTTTTTGTTTTCCTTGCCTGGCTCTGCTCAGGCTGTGAGGTCTCCTGGAGCACATTTTAGGGGATGGGCAGCAGAAAGCTGAAAGCAACAAGAAGGAAAAATCCGTGTGTGAGTGCTGGGGTCCAGCCTGCTGGAGCTTCAGGAGGGAACAGGAATAATTCCAGAAAAAAGGCAGGCAGCCTGGCCAGCCACATCCTCCAGATGGCAAAAATGTGGTGGAGAGAGGGCAGGCAGAGCTCCAGCTTTATCCACACCTGAAAGGTGTCTCCGTGGTGGGCACATCAGGGTCCTGTGAGGGCCTGATGGGTCCAGCAGAATTACAGAGTCCTCAAATGGTTTGGGTTGGAAGGAGCCTCAAAACTCATCCAGTGCCACCCCTGCCATGGCAGGGACACCTTCCACTGTCCCAGGCTGCTCCAAGCCCCATCCAGCCTGGCTTGGGACACTGCCAGGGATCCAGGGACAGCCAGAGCTGCTCTGGGCACCCTGTGCCAGCCCTGCCCACCCTCTGAGCAGAGAAGACCTGTCCCAGTGTCCTGTGCCATTGTCCTGTTCCATTTTCCTGTTCCATTTTCCTCTCCCTTTGTCCTGTCCCTTTGTCCTGTCCCTTTGTCCTGTGCCATTTTCCTCTCCCTTTGTCCTGTCCCTTTGTCCTGTCCCTTTGTCCTGTGCCATTTTCCTGTCCAATTTTCCTGTCCCATTGTCCTGTCCCATTTTTCTGTCCATTGTCCTGTCCCTTTGTCCTGTGTCACAGAAATGCTGCCTGGCCTGCCGAAATGTCTCTTCTTGCCTGCAAGCAAACTTTAAACAGGTGGAACTGTCTTTCCTTAACAAGAGAGGTCCCAGTTTCCCGTGCTGTGGTGGAGCCCAGCTCCCTTTGCACCAGCAGCCCACCCACGGTGGCCCTGCAGGCTCCTGAGCTGTGCTGTGTCCCCTGTCCCCTCCAGGGTGGGACTGAGCTCCTCTGGGTGCTCAAGGGCAGCTCTGGGTGGGCAGGATGGGACACAAGGGCTTTGCTCCTTCCCATTCCCCCCACAGGGCAGCACTCACGTGTGGCCACAGGCACAGATAAACCCCTGGTGAGAGCTTTTCCAGTGCAGTTTTTTTAGGCTTAGTTAGGGGTTTTTATTTTAAAATTAACTTCCTTCCTCTAATGTAAACGTAACAGAAAAATTAATGACAGAGATAATACATCTGTTGGATAAGTGTGAGAAGCAGGGGAAAGAGGTGTCACCTTCTCTGCACCAATCAACTTTATCCTGTCTCTGAAGTTACAAAAAAACTCTGCTTAAGCTGTTTTAAAATAAACTGGTCTCTTTCCTACCATGAAAGAGACTGAGTAGCTGTGTCTTTATTTCCTCTGCTCCAAAGAGTGAAATCCTTAACCCACAGCTACATTTGGAGGTTGCACTCGTGGGCTGTGCTGGATTTGGGGGGTCCCAGCACTCAGGAACCTCCCACACCAGAGCTGCCAGGACATTCCCCATGGAACCTCTGGCAGGATGCAAGGATGGAAAATACAATTCAACAATTTCCCATTGGGGTGGCTAGGGAGAATCTGCTTTTCTTGCTGTGTCTTGCACTGGTTCTTTCAGGAAAAGCAGAATTTGTTGCTTTGGGTTGTTCAGCTGAAAAATGGAGCGTCCTGTGAAGGCTCCTTTGGAAATCCCCTGAGATTCTGCTCACAAAATCTCACTCACAGTGGAAAATCTGACCTTGTGTTTTTTCTTTCACATCTCTGATGAGCTGGTCGGGGCTTTGAGCTGCTGTGGTTTGTGAAGGTGATTGGGAAAATTCACTTGTTCTGTGTGTGAACTTTAAAAAACACGGGGGGTTTATTTTCCTGCCCACATTTATTTCATCTACCCACGTTTTCCTAAAATAAAAGCACTTTTTCATCTAAATTTAGAAAGACAACACCAAATTTATTCTCATTTAAATATTTCACCAGCACCAGTGGGTTTTTTTAAGAAAAACCATAACATTACAGTCCTGGGGTGAGGGAGAGAAAACCCACGGAAAGGAATATTTGTCAGGACTATTCCAGGCGGTGCTGGTGTTTTTGAGCTCTTCTATCAAACGTGTGCACTTGGAATTCGTTGCCACTTTGACCTCCCAAGGAAAAGCTGCATGTCCTGTGTTTTGTACATTGAAATATTTTGGGGATCTCACGGTTTGAGCCACTTGGGAAGGATGTTCTGCTTTCCAAAATTCTTTGGGACTGGAAGTTAATAATAAAACATCCTTAAAAAAAAGGTGCAGGCACCACACACCTGTGCTGTGACATCCTGAATTGTATTTTTGGGAGCTCTCCCTCACCAGCAGAGCTCCCAGCAGGCTCCCAAAAGCTCAGGGAAGGTTGTTAATCCTGGGAGAGCTGAGTGGAAGTTCTGGGAGAAGCTGAGCACAACTTTGCTGGCCTGCCAGAGAAGTCATCGTGTGGAATCAGAGGCCCTCAATTATTCATGTTTTCCAGAATCACATTACTTCTTCCCAAGGCCTGGTTTATAAATGCTGCTGCTATTTCTGATGGTAAATAACAATTCTGCATTATTTATGAGCAGATTTTTACAACTGCTGATGTTACAGCTGCTGCCAAAGCTCTGGGAAAACTCTCAGTGGTGTTTGTTGTTGTTTGTTCCTTACACACAAACCCTCCTGTTGGGAGTGAGATGGGGATGAGGATGAAGATGAGGATGGGGATGGGGATGATGGTGATGGTGATGATGGTGATGAAGATAATTGGGATGATAGTGATGGTGGTGATGGGGATGAGGATGGGGATGATGGTGACAATGACAATGATGACAATGACAATGATGATGATGGTGATATGATAATGGTGATGATGATGATGATGATGATGATGATGATGATGATGATGATGATGATGATGATGATGATGATGCTGTGCCATCCCAAGTCCCCTAAGCACAGCACCAGCGAGGAGCAGGGTGCAGGTGCCACTTGGGTATCCCCTGAGCTCATGGCTGGTGCTCAGGGCTGACCTGAGCCAGGCATGGATGTGGGACAGGACCCCAGGCCGGGTTAAACTCCAGAGGAGGAAGAGCAGAAGCTCTGCCCCAGTGCTGGACCTTGGGCGTGGCTCTGCTGCATTTCCTCTGCCCTGTGACACGGCTTCCCTGGGAGCTGCAGCAGGTGGCACAGGTGACACAGGTGACACAGGTGACTGTGAGAGCCACCAGCTGGGCTTCATCCTGTGGCTGCTGGGCTGCTACCTGCGTGTCACCTGTCCCTGTCTCGTGCAGGTGCAGCTGGAGCCAATCCTGCCCTGTTCCCGTCCCCAGCTGCTCCTGGGAGAGCTGCAGGAGCCTCTTGTCCCTGCTGCTCCTGCCTGGCTGCAGCTGTGTCCCAGGAGGCAGCAGGGATGGCAGGGATGAGATCAGAGATGTGCCTGCACTCCCCTCCCTGCTCACAGCCTGTTCCCAGGCTCTGCCAGAGCGGGATCCAGAGGGGACTGTGCTGCTCCTGCAGCTTCCCCTGCAGCCTTTGGTGCCAGGAGAGGAGGGAATTGCTGCAGGGCAGTGGTGCTCCCTGAGGCAGCTGCTGCCATCCAGCTCCTTCCTGCAGAGATGTGACACTTCCAGTGCCAGCATGGTCACCTGGGCAGCCCCAGCCCCTCTGTCCCCCTGTCCCTCTGTCCCCCTGTCCCTCTTGGGCCCAAGCCAGGTCACTGTATCTTTGATTCAGGAGCTGCATCTTTCAGCCCCTGCCTGGTCCCAGGTCAGCCTGTGCCACCTCCCCACACGTGTCCCCTGTCCCCTCCACCAGCAATCCAGCCCTTGCTGGGCTCAGCTCAGTTATCCCTTGTCCCTTCCTTCCTCCCTGCCCCACAGGGACACCAGGAGGTTTTTGGGGCACAGTCTGACAGCAGAGAGCAGCTCCAGCACAGACACTCTGCAGGCACTGTCCCATCGGGTTATTTTTTCCCTCCCCAGCATGTCAGGAGCAGAAGGTTCTTAAACTAAAGGCTCTTAAAGTACCCTGCCCAGCTGGAAGGCAGGAGAAGGTTCCACCTCCCAGAGGAGGAACAGCCAGGTGCTGCTTGGAGCCACCAACCAGGGATGTGGCTCACAAAGGCCACGTTGCCATGGAGTCGAGGATGGGACTGAACCCAGTGACGCTGCCGCTGGAAAACAGAGTCAAAAGCAAAAGCAGCGAGTTGTGTTCTGTCCTCCCTCCCTCCTGCAGATCTTCTCCATCGTGGTGTTCGGCTCCATCATCAACGAGTGCTACGTGAACAAGGACAGCCAGCACCCCGAGCTGCTCTGCATCTTCAACGAGAATGAGAGTGCCTGCAGCTACGGCATCGCCGTGGGCGTCATCGCCTTCTTCGGCTGCATCTTCTTCTTCGTGGTGGATCTCTACTTCCAGCAGATCAGCAGCGTCAAGGATCGCAAACGAGCCGTGCTGCTGGACCTGGGCTTCTCAGGTACCTCTGCTCTGCTTTACTCTGATTTACTCTGATTTACTCTGCTCTGTTCTGCTCTGTTCTGTTCTGTTCTCTGCTCTCTCTGCTCTGCCTGGCTCTGGTTCCATGGGCTCACTGCTGTGCCCTGCCCCTCCTCTCTCTGCCATGGCCTGACAGGGCTCGTGTGCCGTGGCTGGGGACAGTAGGGGTGGCAGGGGAGTTGTCCCATCCAGCCATGGGCTCAGTGAGCACTGAGGAAGCCAGGGGACAGTGCCTGGGGACAGTGGTGTGTCCTCCCTCTGCAACTGGAGATGTTTGGTGAGGTCACCCACGGGGTGAGGCTTGGTGGTCACATCTCAGAGCCCACACTGGGGTTTTACCCACCCACATCTCCTGTTCTGGCTCACGAAAAGCAAAGGTGATTTCAGCAGCTGCCTCGGGTCTGGTTTCACTTCGTGCACGAGTTTGGAGCGGAGCAGGAGCAGCTTCAGTGCAGCTGGGGCTGCCCTGGGGTCTGCTGTGCCCCCCTGAGCCCCCGAGCTGAGGCTGATCCCTGCAGGATGCCCCAGCCTGGGAGGGAACACCCTCTGCTCTGCTCTGGGAACTGCCTGGCTCCGTGTGCAGCTGCTGCTCTGCACTCCCAGGCTCTGTTAGCAAAATCTGAGGTGATTTATCCAGCACGAGCAGCACTGATGGCTCTCTGTCCCAAATGAACACATCCATCATCACCTCCCTGCCTTGCCTCTTGTTCAGGCTGTTCTCTCCTCGCTGCAAAGCTCATTTCCACGCTGCTGGAGCATCCAGCCCTTGTTAGATAAAATTTACAGCCCCTTCCGTGAGGCTCAGTGACTGAAATCCTTGGATTCAGGCAGAAGGGGGGACATCACATCCATCTTGTGTCACAGGGCCAGGCTGGGATCCTGCCTCTCATCCTGACAGCCCCTGCTCCCTGCCAGGCACAGGGGAGCTGCCACTGCTCTCAAATTCTGCCTCTTCTCCTTTTCCCTGTGATGGATCCACTGAGAGGAGAAATGAGAGGATCCTGGAATGGTTTGGTAGGAAGGGACATTAAAGCCCATTCAGCTCCACTTTCCACTAGACCAGGATGCTCCAAACCCAGTTAAACTCCTCCAGGGATCCCGGGGCAGCTACAGCTTCTCTGGGCACCCTGTGCCTGTTCCACCCTCCCAGGGAGGAACTTCTTCCTAAAATCCATCTGGGAAGTGACTGGGTGGTAACTCTGGGGCACAGGTGGGGGTTCAGGCAGGGCCACCACACTGCAAGCAGCATTTACAACCTTCTCTTCCAGCTGCTCTTCCAGCTGTTCCCACAGACAGGAGACCAGGCCGTGGTCAGGCTGGTAACACACCTTCCCTGGTGTTTGCACTCTGTTGTCTGCAGATCCTTGAGTGATCATCGTCCCCTGGCTCTCTCCTTTTCCCCTGGGTGCTGCAGGGAGTGGAGCTGCTGCTCCAGCTGGAGCTGGGGCTGCCACAAGCAGCCTCACCCCATCACTGCCAGCTCAGATTTTAAAATCCCTGCCAGCCCTCCAAACATCCCACCACACCTGGAGGGGTTGCTGGAGGTGCTGCCCATGCCTGACCCCTTGTCCTGCACTGGCAGTGGTGCCTGCTGTGCCCATGGCACTGGAGGAAACCCTCTTGCTGCCCAGAGCTGCTCTGGAGGGAAAAGTGCATCCCAAAACCTCCTGGAAGTGCCCATGGGTGGCAGCAGGAGCGATGCCAGGCGCTCCTGGCTGGAGGTGCTGATGTTTTTGGGACGGGGAAGGTCAGTGCCTGGCAGAGCTGCTGCTGCAGAGGGATTTGGAGCTGCAGTACCCAGCGCAGCCGTGCTGGCTCCGGGCTGTGCATGATGTCATTTTAACCCCTGCCATGCCGGGGGTGCCACCAGGGCTGGGGTGGCACTGGGGACACGGTGGCAGCGAGGGATCAGTGGCAGTGTCCTGCCAGGGAGGGCGAGCTGCACTGGGTTCAGTGTTACCCACAGGAACAGCTTCCCCCTGCACAAACCAGTGCCACCCCCATGTCCCCTGTGCCATCCCTGTGTCCCTTGTGCCATCCCTGTGTCCCTTGTGCCATCCCCGTGTCCCCAACCTTGCCCCTGAGCCATCCGGCAGCCCCCACAGTGTGAATTAACCTTTGGGAGCTGCTCCTGTTTCACCCTTGGGCTTTTAACTCCCGAATTACCCCCAGTGTGATTCTGAACAATGGCTGGGGTCCAAATTTCGGGGTTGGAGCTGCTTCCCATAGCAGGGAACAGCTGCTGGTGAAGCCCCCTTGTAAGAGCAAGGGAACAGAAAAGATCTCTGAATTCAAGGGTGACCTTTAAGGAGTAAACCCCAGATGTCTCTTTTAATGCTGGCAACAAGTCACCATCCTGAAGGGAAGTGAAAATGCTAGTGCAGAGATTTGGGTGGGTTTGGTGACAGGATTGGCTGTATTTGGTGAAGTGTTTGTAATTTGGAAAAGGAAACCTGACTGATCCTTCCTGCAAGGCAGCTCCTGGCCAGGCCTGATGGTTGGGAATTCCCAACCCAGCCATGCAGGAGGAGACAAGGAATGTGTCCTAAACTGCAATTGGGAGCAAAATCTGAATTAAAGGCTTTGAGCCCTGTACCTCCAGCACTCGGTGTGCATGTGGATACAATTTTATATTGTATTTAGGGATAACTGGGAAGATAAATGGGAATAAATGGGAATGAAGGAAGGTTCTTCTCTCCCTGCAGTAGGACAGGGACTGGCAGCCTGATGATCCTTGGAAGCTGCTGGGCAGCTCAGCATTCCCAACATCCACAGAATCTGAGACATCAGGAGTGATGGAGACCCTGCAAACAGCGCCATGGCAGGGTCCAGATTGTGCAGCTCCTCTTCCCAGTGCTGGAAAACAACCCCTGCTGCTGGCCCTGTGTGCTCCTGGCTTTTCCTTCACTCTTCCCTCAGTTCCTTGGCACTGGGCAGTGCTGGTGGCTGGGGATGGAATTAGGGCAGCTGGATCTTGTTCAGGCAGCTTTGCTTCCAGGCAGGAACAATCAAATAATCACCAGAGTGCTTCTGCTCAGTTCCACAGGCCCAGGGGGATTCTCTGCAGGGACGAGCAGAGCTCTCACGTGTCACGGAATCACGGATTTACAGAATGGTTTGGGTTGAAAGGGGAATTAAAACTCATTTCATTCCACCTTCCAGGCTGCTCCAAGCCCTGTCCAGCCTAGCCTTGCAAACTCCCAGGGATCCAGGAGCAGCCACAGCTTCTCTGAGCCTCCCCACACTCTCAGGGAAGAATTTCTTCTCAATATCCAATGTAAATCCACCCTCCTTCAGCTTAAGGCCATTTCCCCTTGTCCTGTTATTCAATGCCCCTCTCCAACAAGTCCAAGGAGGAATGTGCTGTCCCTGGGGGTCACTGAGATCAGGCTGAGGTGCAGCTGAACTGAATTTCAAGCAGGCACCACATTGAGATGACCCCACAACTTTCCTTCCATCTCTGTTTTTGTTTTTAAAAAACTCCTTTTGGGGTCACGGCTCCCGAAATTCCCTTTCCTATTGGAAACCTGGGTGCTGCAGCAGAGAGGTGCTGGGCAGGGGCAGCACTGACCAGCTCTGTTTCCCTGCAGGTTTCCTGGCTTTCCTGTGGTTTGTAGCTTTTTGCTTCCTGGCAAACCAGTGGCAGAGGACGACGCTGACCAGGGGCTTCTCGCAGGGCGCGGACGCGGCGCGGGCGGCGATCACCTTCTCCTTCTTCTCCATCATCATCTGGGTGAGGGCCACGACCTGCTGAGCGGGAGGGGAGGGCTGGGATTTGGAGAAGTGAATCCTGCTGGGGAAAGCTGAGTGGAACTGGTGGTTTCTTACCGGGGAAGCTGCAGCTCAGCCCCCGCTCGCTGGGGAATTCCAGGCTTCCCTTTCTGCCCAGGCTGGGAGGTTTTGTTCACGTCGAAAATGTGTTGGCAGCCACGAGTTGCTCTGGTTTTAGGACCTGGCTGGAGGCAGAGAGTCCCCAGGAGCAGATGTGTGCCCTGAGCAGGTTCATGGGGGATTTTGGGAGCTCTCAGGGTCATCGGTTCCCTCCTGGGACAAGCCAGGCTGGCCCCTCTGCTGGAGAAGGGATTTCTAGAAACCCCCTTTGCTCCCATTTTTGGCTCCACATGGGCACGGGGACTGCAGCCAGGTGAAACCCTGGGGCTCACCTGGACCCCACATGACCTGGGGGGGTTCTGTGCCCCCTGGGGGACTCTCATTTGCAGAGGCTGTGTGTGCAGAGGCAGGGATGGCCCCGTGTCACCTCCATCCCTCCTCCAGCTTTCCCTGGGCACAGAGCCCCGGGATGTGCTCTAATTCCACATTGCCTTCAAAGAATTGGGGCAAAAGCCATCCTGAGGCTTTCCCAGCAGCAAGTTGTCCCCCAGTTTAACTGCTCCCTGCTTGATGATTATCCCAATAAATCTCTTTTAATCCCAGCAGCTCTTCCCCATCCACAGGGAAGGGCAGTGGGGGGATGTTCCCCATCCCATCAGCATCTGCTCCCAGCCCGGGAAGGCAGTGGGGACACACCAGTCCCCGTCACATCCCAAAGATGTTGGGAATGGTTGGGAAGCCATTCCTGGCTTCTACAGGCATTTTTTAGCCTCCTCAGCTCATCATTTACAAACTAATTGAATTGTTAATGAAGCCTCGTGGAATGAGAGCGAGCTCGGGGCCCTCCCGGCTTTGCCTCCCACATTTCCCACCGTTTGCAACCTCAATTCCTGCAACCTGGAAAAGGGTGAAGGAGTCTCGGCAGAACTGACCTATTTTCCTGGGCTGGCACTCGGCAGCTTCCCCTCCCCACAGCAGATGGGTTTATTTGGGCCAGAGCTGCACAGGCAGGGTCCCCCAGCCCAGGCAGAGCTCTGGGGGTCACCCTGTCCCACAGAAATGATTTCTGGGGTGTCCGGGTGGGGTTTGGGGCTGGATTTGGTACAATGGAGTGGGGTGGAGTGCTGGGTGCTGCCATGGGCTCCGTGCTTTGCAGGGAGAGGGGGGATGTGGGGTTTGGGGGGGATGTGGGGTCTGGGGGCGTGTAGGGTCCTGAGGGGGACATGAGGTCCTGGGGGATGTCAGGTTCTGGGGGTTTGGGGGATCCTGGGAGAATTAGGGAGTCCTGGGGGGTTTATGGGGTTCTGGGGTAATGTTTGATGCTGGTGAGACACAGGATCCTGAGAGTCCTTGGGGTCTTGGTGGGATGTCAGGTTCTGGGGGTTTAGGGGATCCTGGGGTGATTGTGGAGTCCTGAGAGGGATATGGGGTCCCCCTGAGGGAATGTGTGACACTGGATCTTGGGAGGGTTATGGGGTCCTGAGGGATGTGAGGTCCTGGGAGCTTGGGGGATTCTGTGGGGACACGGGATCCTGGGGGGATTGGGGAGTGCTGGAGGTTTGGGGGATGCTCAGAGGATATTTGGGGTCCTGGGAGGAATGTGAGATTCTGGGGGTTTGGGGAATCCTAGGGGTATGCGAGGTCCTGGTGGGATTGTGGAGTCCCGGGAGGGTTCTGGGGTCCCTTTGAGGGGCACGGGGGTGCTGTGGGGTGGCATCCCTGCCCTGTGTGACGCTGTCCCTCGCTGTCCCTCGCTGTCCCGCAGGTGGTGCTGGCTCTGCGGGCTCTCCAGCGGTACCGCCTGGGCACGGACATGTCCCTGTTCGCCACCGAGCAGTTCGGCACCGATGCCAGCGCATCCTACCCCGGCTACCCCGGCGGCAGCGGCGTGGAGAGCACGGAGACCTACCAGAGCCCCCCGTTCACCGAGACCTTAGAGCCCAACCCCAAAGGTTACCAAGTGCCAGCGTACTGAGGGGGTGCCACCCCCGCCCGGTCCCAAATGTATCCTCCAGTCAGTGCCGGGTCCCTTTATTAGCTCGTTGTGCAGTGAATTCTGTACAGTGGTATTGGTTCTTGTCTTACCTGTCCCAGGGTTTCTAAAAGCAGTGTTCCCTCTAAGCCAGGAGGAAGGAAGGTTGGTGCCACATCACCTACACGTGGGGAAGGAGGAGGAAATTCCCTCTCTGAGCTCTGCTGGGAAAGCCCAGGACACCTTTTCCTCTTAGAAAGCAGCAGCTGAGGAATTATTCATGATCTCGTTCTTCCAGAGCTAACACAGAATCCATCGAGGGTGGGTGGGTGAGTGGCCCTGTCTGCTCCTGCTGTGGAGTTTCCAGTCCAGGTTCCATGGAAAGTGCCAAATTCACAGGGAAATCAGTGGTGTCTGTGTTATTTTGTTTTTTTTTTTCTTTGTATATATTTGCTGTACAAAACAAATATCCAAACAGGTGTTTCAAAACTTGGTTTAGAGGCACAGGGTTGGGATCAGTATCCAGATTGCTTCTACACTTCAGCAGGTTCTGGTTGAGGATTTTAAAAATTCCTGTTTGAAATGGAAACCAGCAGGAGCTGGTTGCTAACTGGGAATAGCCTGTGACCAGTGGGAACGTGGCTTTGTGGTTCTGTTCCTTCCTGGGGGATTGGGAAGTTTGTAAATTCCTAAGGAATTTTTGGTTGGCAGCGCTGACACATCCTCACCCTGGAGGGGTGAGGACCAAGGTGAGGGGCTCAGACTCGACATGCAAGGCCATTAAGGAGCAATATTGGACTTGTGTTTTTATTCTGGGAGCAGCCACCATCTGTCAGCTGCAGCAGAACCCCGGCTGGGGACACGTGTGTCACCCTGCAGCCTCCAGAAATTCAGAAATTCAGGCAGGGAGCTGGAAAGGCTTCACAAGCCATTAGAGCCCATCCCCAAATGATGTGGGAGGAGAATCAGTGAAAAGCATCCAGGAAAGAGGCTCAGGTTGGGGGTTCAGCTGCAAAGAACAAAAATAAAAAGAACAGAATGTGTCAAATCCAAGCAGGTCCTTGCCAGCTTTCCCTGCCCGTGTGGCAGCTGATCCAGGCTGTGTCACTGAGGGCACAGGAGCTGAAAATTGAATTCCCAGCCCTGTTGGTGGCAGCTCCATCCCTGGACACTCCTGGTCCTGCCTTGCCCGTCGGTGCTGGCAAAGCCACCGCTGCCTTCCGACCTGCTGAGGAGCAATAGCCACCCCCTGTCACTGTCCCCTCCCTGTCGCCTTCACCACAGCTCATTCCTGCTGCCGAGGCGCACATCAGCGCACTAATTAACGATAAATGCACTAATTAAGCAGCCAATCATCCCTAGAGGTCACTGCCAGTGGTAAAGTGCATTCCTTGCCTTGGCTCCAGGTCCTGGCTGTGCCCAGCTCCTCACAGGACACCCCAGCCCGGTGCAGGATCAGGATCAGCCTCAGTGAATCCCGGGATCTTTGTGCTTTTGTGAAGTCAGTTTTGCTGGGAAAGAAAAAAAAAAAAACAAAACAAAACAAAAACCCCGAGGATTTTGAATACAGGTACGGTAGAACTGTAGCAATATTTTCCTTAGAGGGAACACTGAAACTTTAGCAGCACAAACAGTACTTGTGTTAATATTTTAGCAAAATTATAATCAATTTAAATGTTTAAATTGATTGTACGTGAGATAATGTTCGTTGGGTACAGTGTATTTTTTCTAACTATAATATAACTGTTCCAGAGTTTCCGTGTAACCGTAAAGAGCTAAAGCTGTGTCTGCCCGCGGGCCATGTCCTGCCCCGTGTGCCCCCCATGCTGAATATTACATATAACACGCTCTGAATGTCCCCCCCTAGGCCTGCATTGCCTTTCTTTGCACATCCCACCACGCTGTGACCTCTGGAGCAGCAGCAGGGACACGGGGATGGCACCAGCACTGGTGATTCCCCAAGTCAGTGTCACCTTTTCCTTGTAGGAGACACCGAGCTGCTGTGCTGGGCAGGGAGGAGGAGGAGGAGGAGGAAGGGTTGGGTGCCTGAGGGGTTTCCTGGCAGCACAGGAGATGTTTTGTGATGAAATTGGGAATAATAATGACGTGTCCAGCCTCATCACTCAGCAGGCACCGGAGGGAGGTGAGCCCTGATGCTCTGCACACCAAGTGCAGGGAGGGGTGGCAGCCCTGTGGGGTGGCACTGGGACAGGCAGGAGCCCACAGCTGGGACATTTTCCCAGGGAATAGCACTGGGATTGTGTCTGATGTGACCACACCAAGGCACAGGGACAACCCCAAACTCCCTGGTTGTGCTGAGAGCCTTCAGCCAGCTCAGCCTGCCTCAGCCAACCCCATTTTGGGGTTTGTTGGTGCAGCTCCCCGGCCCCATGGAGCCCTGGCCCTGCTGAGTTAACCCTGCTCAGAGGGAGGGTGACACCCGTGCCTGGAATCCTGCCCCAAATCCTTTGGGAACCCCACAGTGTCCCCACAGCTGTCAGGTGTCCCCAGTGCCCTGCAGTGGCAGCACCATCGGGCAGGGTGTGCAGTGGAAATGTCACCAAACACACCCAGAGGGGGCCCTGGCTGGAGAACCAGAGGCTGCAGTAACTGTGGGGTGCTGGGGCTACAGATATTTGTAACAGCAATTTTCATCTTTTGTCCTTTTTTTCTCCCAGCTGTGGTACAGCAGCACTCACCCCCTTGTAACCACATCCTAAGAGGATGCCAGGGTTGTCCCAAAATCGTCCCAAAACCATGCCAGGATTGTCCTGAGCGTGACAGGGCTCTGCCATCCTCACAAGCTGTTTCTAACCCTCTGCTCTCCCCATAAATCAGCAGCACACAGAGCTCACAGAGGGTAGGACCTCGCTGAGCTCAGCCCAGCCCAAAAACCTTCTGCACAGCGTTAGCATTAAATTTGGGTGTAAAGAGTAGAATTCCAGCATTCTGCCTTTCCTGGAGCTGCATCCTGCCCCGTCCTCTTGCTCCAGGAGGTTCTGTCACAGCACTGCTGTTCCTCAGCACTGAGGGAACCACATCGTGCACTCTGCAATTCAAGTATATTTAAAGATTTGGATTTTTTTGCCAACATTTCAAGCTGTTCCTAGCAAAGGTGGAAGCTTTGCTTAAGTGATGTTTAGTGAAAATTGTTCTCCCCCCTGCATTACCTGCTGTGTGTCAGGGGCTGGAGCAGACCCTGAGAGCAAACCCCTCCCTTTCCAGGACATCATTTGGGATCTCACTGCTCTTGTGCCTGGACACTGGGATGAGATTCCCATCAGTTGATGCCACAACAACAACGAGTGACAACACCCACAGCTTTTCTTTTCTCCTGTGTTTTGCACCTTCCCTCCCAGTGCCAGCCCCCAAAGGCACAGGGCTGGCTCCTGGCTCTGCCTGCTGCCCTCTGTTCCTTAGGAAATCCCATCATTATTCCATGCAGTGGGGATTTCTCTCAGTAAAAACTGCTGTTTATTTTACAGACCCCTCCCAGCCTGTGCTGTCCCCAAGCAGGTGACTCTGGTCCCCCCTGGTCCTGTTCTCAGTTGCATTTTGCCCCTCCGTGTGTCACAATCCCCTCTCCCCCCTCAGTGAGGCTCACACCCAGCCCTCACTGCCTCAACTTGAAACCCCAGTTCAGCTGCCTGGATTTTGTTGCAATACACATTCAAACCTCAGCTCCTTTTAAGAGTTTTAATCTCCAACAGTTCCCACCTGAGGGTTGGGAAGTTCAGTTTCTTTGCAGATACCTCTGTCCAAGCAGACGCTTCCAGGAGTTGCAGTTGTCACTAACCTCTGTGCAGTGTAGTATAAAGTGGACTGTGTATGGAAATAAGTTTAAAATGTTTACAATTTTGTATATATTATATATATAAAAATATCTTTTGAGAGAACCAATCTGTGATTCTGTATTTTCGGTGTCTGTGTAACCAACTGCAACTTATTTTCAATAAAGAGCTAAAAATGAATAGAAAAAAAAAAAAAAAAGATTTGGTAATAATTTTATTGAATCAGGTGAGCACAAGGAACAAGGAAACTGCAACATCAGGCCCCAGAGATGCAGCAGCTCGAGGGAACTCCCAGCAGCAACTCCCAGGGAACTCAGAGCTGCTGATGGAGAAATAACTGAAACCCAAGGGAAGACAGAAGATGCTCCTGCTGCAGGGAAGACATTTCACTCCCTGAACTTTACAAACCAAAGGGGTGAGGGGGAATTGCTGACTGGAAGGTGGTGGCAGCACCCAGCCCCCTCAGGGGTCCCTGCTCCAGGATCCTGAGCAAGGCAGGAACAGGGACTGCCAGGGACTCATGCAGTGGATGAACAACCATGCAGCAAATCACCTTCCCCAGCCCCTTCTGGGCCAAATCCAACACGGGCAGGTGGGCAGAACAGTCTTAAATACTCAAGAAAAGAAACCCAAAGCACTTTGCAGCCTGAGAGCAAGCAAAAATAACACATGTAAGGCAAGGTAGAGTGGCTGTAGGCAGGAGTAGCTCTTGGGTAATACTCTGAGCTCGATTTCATAGAAATGATGCTGCTAGAAAAGCTGTGTTTTGTCACTACAAATTACATAAATTAATTTCAGCTTTATTCCTACACATTAGAAATAACTAAACCTGGAGATGGGAGAGAATCAGACACTGAACTACAGCCATGGGGGGAACTCCTGGCACTCCATCACCTCAGAGGAGGAAGAGATTTTCCCCCCCTTCCTCAAAGGTGGAATTTGGGGGTGCCAGGGAACACGAGCAAAGCTACATCAGCCTGGTGTTACCGAGGGAGGTGCAGGTATCAGACCACTGTAAACAGATAAATGCACTTAAAGGCACTGCAGAAAACATGGTCAGTAATCAGCAGCATTTAATGTCCCAGGATGCTGTTGGGAGCTCCCACCAGTAATACATCCAAGAAATTAGAAACATGGAAGTCATTAAATAAAATTCCCGTGTGCTTTACGGAGAGTAAAGCCTTAATGCTGTTACTGTACATGCAGGGCTACAAAAATCAGTTTCTTGAAAGAACTTTACAGAAAAAGTCAGAGGCAACTTCAAATCTTGCACAGATCAGCCCAATTCTTCAAGCAGCAGAATTGACTCTGTTTGCAGAAAGGAAAACTCTGCAGCCCAGTGTTTGCAGCTCTCCTGGTCACACCCCCCAGTGAGCAGCACTCTCTTGCACCTTTTACCCCTGACTAGTGTGATCTTCACTGAAATAGCACAAAAAAAAAAAATCAGAATGTTATAAGGGAAGCCACTTCCATTCATTTCAGTGATCCATAAACTTCCCCCACCCCAAAACCAGAAAGAAACCCCCAAACCAGAAGCTTATTCCCCTATTGTGTCCCCTGTCATTCTGCAGATCCAAAAGGATTCCCCAGCTATTGCATGTTCCAGGAGGAAGGAGCCCTGCCTGCCCCTCCTGCAGCTCAGCCTAACCCCAGCCCAGATTTGGGAGCTCAGACAGTGGGTGGGGACGAGCTCTGGCACATTCCCGTGATCCCTTTGCCCAGGAGGGCTTTTCCCAAATCACCTGCTCCTCGCTGCCTCAAGGGCACCAGCCCCCAGCTACTGCCAAACCTCAGTGCAAAGTGCACATCCCCAGGCAGAGCCCTGGGGAGAGCTAACTGATGATCCTGCTGATTGCCTGCAGAGAGGGGAACTCCTCATCCTCGATATGCAAAGCTTTGTGGGTGACCACGTCCTGCTGGGTCAGCACCTGCCTGCACGTGGGGCAGATGTAGCAGTCGAGCTCGGCGGGGGAGTCCGTCTGCCAAACATTCTTTTTGTTCTTTTTGGGTTTGTTGGAGCTTTGTTTCTCCTTGATCCTGAAGTCGTTGTGAGCAGAGAGCAGTTCCTGCTGCTTGGCTGTGTCTGGCAGCAACACCAACAACTCCTTGAAAATCTTCTTGAAGTTTTCGCCCAGCAGCTCCCGGCAGCTTTTGTAATACTGAGCTGCAGAGATCAGCCCCTGCAGGGGACAGGGAAGGGCAATAATCAGAGGAAAAGAAATATTTATCTATTCAAAATGCCACTGGAATTCAGGCCTCCCAGAAAGGGAGGTTTTGGGAATCCACTCACCTGTCTGAACTGCCCAGAATGAGTTTTAAATTTATTGAACTTGGACTCGTCGCTCTGAAGAAACTCTTTAATGGATTGGATGAGCTGGATGTTCCTCTGCTGGAAGTTCTCAGGTATCAAGTATGATCCATGACAGGATTTTGGCCTGTGGTAGAAAAGACCAGAAGTGACCCTGACACTGGTTTGTGTCACACAAAGATGACATCATCATAAATCCCATAAATGGGACATAAATCACAAGGCTGTTCTGGTTTACAGCTGCATGTCCTTCTTCCACCCAGCCACACAAAAGCAGCACACAGCTGTCCTGTCAGGGTAATAAATTATGGGATTTCCATATCAGATTCCAGCTTTACACAAACAGAATATTTAAAATACAAGCTCAACGTGGTCCCCACGAGCTGCTCTGTGAGCTGGGTGCACTCAAAAGAGCTGAGCAAAGACCTCACCATGAATAAACCAACAGAAAATGCAGGTTCTGTATTAAACTGACACGAAGTTTTCCCTCCCCTTTTCCCAAAAACTCCTCTTTCTGTCCCAAAAGGAACCAGAGAGCAGCTACAGGAAAGATCAGAGCAGTGAAGTCACCAAGGAGAACAAACCTCAGCACCTTGCTGCTGGGACTCCCACAGAATTGATGGGAAGTACAGGAATGCTGGAGCTGCAAATTTCCAAATTAATCTAGAACAGACCAAGGTCTGAGCAGCCAAAACATTGCACAGGTTGCAGCTCCTCTGTGTTTTATCCAACCACAGCACCCTGGCACTTCCCAAGGGGAATCTT